GTCTCTCATTTTATTTTCTTCTGTCCATCACCCAGTATTAACTGACACACAAAAATCTGCAATACATATTTTGTATCTAAATGTTTCTCCCCTGATCTCTGAGAGGGTTAAAGCACAGGGACTTTTTCTGCAGGTGATTCCAGTGGTGAGAACTTTTCTCCTTAGGTAAATGATTTCCCTATAGTGTTTCAGAAAGCTGGTAAAGGAAATCTTTTGGGGAATGGATTTCAAAATGAGCCTTAGATTATTATCTGTATATCTACAGTATGTACATACACATACTCCCATATGTCACATATATGTGATGCAGGATGCCCCAAAAGATCTGTGTGGCCCCAGGGCAGGATGCTTATGTGATGAACAAAGTCAAATTAAAAGAGACAGAAAGCTTGAGGCTTAGTAAGTGCAGTGACACTCAATAAACATAATTCCACTGTGACCGTTTAAAGCAAATGTACAGCAATTATCCTGCAATCAGATGGTAATTGCCTATTGCATCTGTCTTGCCTGGTGGGTCTCATTTGACAGAGTCTATCAAAATATACAACTATGTTTTGTGTGGCTTTTCTCATTTCTCCATCTCTATAATGCATGCCTCCATTTCTTAATTAAAAAGTCACACTCAGAGGCAGTCATTCAACTACAATGACTGAAGCCTTTCACTGATTATTCCATCCATTGTACATTGACCAATGACCCCAGTCCATTGAAAAAGCAACCGAATAGATAAAATGTACTCATTAGGAGATGAAAACAAAATAATTTAATAGGGAGTTTGTGTATACTTCCTAAGCTGCTATTGATTGCCAGAGTGAAAGAAGAGATGCATTTATGTCATCCTGGATTCTCAAATTGCCCGACTTCATGCTACCTCTTTGTGAAAGGCAGACAGGGTAACATGGGCAGGAACACATCACAGTAATACCGCAAATAAAGAAAGAAAAAGAATGAAGCTCCAGGAAGATAATTTTGTTATCTAAGAAGCAACAGGTCCTATTATTATTTTTTTATATTTAGCTTTTTTATCTTATAGCACAGAGAATAAACTGATCTAAATAAAAATTCTACAGATTACATTCTGTAATCTCATCCTTCAGACTCACATGATTTCAGTATCCTGATGCTAAGGATCATGCGATTTCTGGTGAAAATATTAAAACATCACTAAATTTTAGCTATTTTTAAGAAAAAATGAGATTCTATACACCCAAACACAGAAACAAAATCCGTCAAAACGAAGCTGGTGCAGAACAAGTATGAACCACAGGTCTCACTGATTGATTCATTTGACTCCTAGGAAACAAAAAGTTTTTTTCTTTAAAAAATTATGAAGGTGAAATTAAAAAATAATAAATAGTTTTTCTCCCTAACAATCTCTCTAACCTGGTCTTTCAGATCATCCGCTGGTATACTTATCACCACTGTAATTGAATCCATCCCCCTTGTTCCTGGTCATCCTCTTCTCTATCCCTCTTTCCCAACATCAGAGCCTTCTCCAGAGACTGGATCTTTGCATAAAGGTAAATGTTCCCCTTGTACATATGTGCTAGTCATTCCCAACTCTGGATCTTTGCATAAAGTGTCCTAAATAGGATAAGTTGAGCCTGGTCATTTATGCCTCAAGTCAGAAATTTGGGTTGATTTATTCAATAATCCACTTGTTTGTTTTCTTGGCAGGCCATGGTATCCTCAGGAGAGAACCTCCTCTTAAAAACCTCTAGTGTTGGAGCAGCTACAACATATGGAGGCAAGTCATTCCACTGATTTATTTTGTTCTAACTGTCAGGAAATGTCTCCTTAGTTCTAGATTGCTTCTCTCCTTCATTAGTTTCCACCCGTTGCTT